AAAGGAGATTGAACGAAAATGTTATTTACTCCATCGTATCCGAGCTGTCTGCAGACAACCGATGCTACATGAGAAAAGAGTCCATCTCCACAAGCTGACGTCCGGACGGTCTCTGATCTGTCGTACTCTACACGTCCTTCGTTTGGTGTCAGTCCATCTGCCAACATCACATCTGTTCAAAAGTAAGAGAATCATTTAGAATTCTTAGCATTACATCACGTTTCTGCATAGTTCGAGCCTATATCGTCTATGTCATGGTTATTTATGTAGCCATATTTTAAATACATATTAGAGGCACATTTTTACCAGGGGGGGGGGGATGCGCCTCTAACATGAATATTGCCTTCCCAGCCTGTAACTTTGGGAGCGAGCACCCAATTAGATGCTTTATTTTGTTCTAATTTCAACGCTAAATCAAATAATATGAGAAATTGAGTATCAGGAACCTCGCTGCCCGAATATGATGTCGTTCTTTAAAATATATTTATGTTTAATTAATTATAGCTCTCCAACGAGTACTTGTATCGCTAAATTCAATTTTGTATGAATTATAGATACGATTTCTTGTCTCAAATGACCATATGACTTACTTGTAATCGTAGTTGCACCCAGCACCAGATCACATGTAGTCAGAATGTACGCTGGAATCGCGAAAAAGCATTTCCACTCCATGATTCCTTCTTTACATTCGAATAGGAAAAGCTTTGACTGATCAAAGAATGTGGCAAAGAAAGGTCACAGATCCCACAGAATGAATGAATGAATGAATAAGAATTTCATCTTTTCAATAATATGACTATTCTCTACAGTTGTTGCGCCACGCTCTGATGATCCCAGTCATTGCAATCTGCAGTAACAAACATGGCCATTTGGCCTTGTATAATGACTGCCTTAGTATTATTTTTTACGAACTTCGTTCCACCTGAAGTAGTGTAGGTATATACTCACATATCAATATCTACGCGTATCCTTTCACCACATTCAAAAATAGATATTTCGTTCGAAAATTTCTTTCATTGCACCCGGTAACGCCCAAAACTAAGCGTTTTTTTCGGGGGGCACCATAAATAAAGAGCCATAATATTACTAGAATATCTTGGTAACTGTTACTATCAGATTCAATGTGCATGGTGTGTTTTAAAGATACACCCTTATCTCAAACTTTAATATATTTCAGTGCTCTTAAAATTACCTTTCTTTGCTTCTTCACCCTCTTATGTTAATTGACTTTGTGTAGCTCCTTTTAAACTATGTTCCATTTGCATTTATATACTAGTTCCCATCAGGTGCTTTTCTAATGAAGAAACAAGTAGAATCAAACCGAACTCAATATTGACCCATTATTTGATATAGTTTATTGATAAAAACGTACATTCAAATAGCAGCCAGAGGCTGAAACAAATTAAATTTACAAAAGATTGATAAATACAAATGCTTAAAAATTAGACTAGAAAATATGAATGGCAATTCACAATGAATAATCAAGGATATAATAAAAGTAAACAGGAGGAGAGATTGAAACCGATGACTAGAGATAATAGAAAGAAAACGAGTAACAGAAGGCAATAAGACAAATGTGGTAGAAGATTAGAAGGACTGATAAGACAATGAATGAGAGAGAGAGAGAGAGAAAGCGTATAGAGAAATGAGAAAGAGAAACTAAGAAGGAGACTACACAATAATAGGGACAGATAAAGAGTAGGACAGATAAATAGGCTGAAAAGGAGAACTAGAAGAAATAATCAGATAAAGTGTTAACAAATTATAATGAGGCTTACAAATTAAAACTAAGACCCCTTAAAACCTATGTGGGAATACGAGAATTTCGTAGTAAACGGAAGAAATTATAGTGAAAAGTCTAAATGGGAGGAGTTCCATTGGAAAATTGTTTCGAATACAAATCGTTCGTTTCAAAGAGGACAAGAATTATTTTGATCATCAAATTAGTGGCGTAGATCCCGCGGGAGGTAGGGTGCCCCCCTCCCCCCCTCTCTCTCTCTCTCTCTCTCTCTCTCTCTTTCCCTCTCTCAATTTCTCTCTCCCTCTTTCTTTCTCTCTCTCTCTCCCTCTCTCTTTCCCTCTCTCAATTTATCTCTCCCTCTTTCTTTCTCTCTCTCTCTCTCTCCCTCTCTCTTTCCCTCTCTCAATTTCTCTCTCCCTCTTTCTTGTTTTCCTCTCTCTCCGCTACTCACTATCTCTCTCTTATTCCGTTACTCTTCCTCTCTCCCTCTCTCTCTCTGCCCCCTCTCTCTCTCTCTCTCTCTCTCTGTTACATGCGTACTCTTACTTTTCAAAGGGGAGCTGTTTTGTACAATCACCCCCTTCTCTTTGCTAATCTACAGGGGTACACAAATGTTCACTGACTGGAATCGTATGCTTTTACCATCATTGTTTGTTATTGCTGCTATGTTAACGTTACTATATTTATTTTTCATTTATTATTGTCAAAGCTATGTAGTTCAATCGCAATCGTAATTTCAACATATTAATAAACACAATGAGCATACAAGTATCTATCAAAGTGGAATAAAATGAAATCAAATTCCTAGTCTTAGAATTAAACAAATAAAGCATTTTCAAGAAAATTAACTCATGATTGGAAGCATCTTTATCAAAGACTAACTCCATCCCATGCTTCAGTAATCAAGTAATAATATGAATAAGTGAGAAATTTCAACCGGTCGCATAAGAACCTGCCAATTTCAATAAATGTACCTGTACATGCATTTCGAAATCAAAATGCAAGGTGACAAAAGGGGATTTTGAAACACAATTCCCAATAAACTCGTCTCTGCATTGAAAGGTTAGAAATAGTGCAACGGTGTTTATTTAGGAAGACAAGTCGCGTATTGAACAGTGCTCTTGGAATGAGGAAGTGCATTTACATTTCACAATGCATAACTGATAACGTAGTCGTATAAATTGCCGTACATTCTAGGTTATGTTCATAAAGTGTGAATCTGAAGAACAGATATTTTGTTTAAATGCAAACATACATAAACATATTATAAACAAATTTTAAGACAAAAAACATATAATATCATGATATTTACATGGTCTATGATTACAATTTTAGTTACGATTTTGAAGTATCAAAAAGATTTTACAGAATGTTCATAAACATGTTCATCTGTTATCAAGTGCAACTTGTGTTCGCCTTATTATTTGTGGTGTTTCATAAATACAAATATGCCATTCTAAGATTTAACAGTTAGATATGATGTAATGTATATGAATGATACATAATTGACAAGAAAATGTAGGATGTCTTTAAGCAGCAATGTGTAGCTCCCAATAACATAATCCATATTCACAGTATATGAATATTATGTTTGATACATACTTGAGGTCGTCTTAAGTCTATCTGCAAGAACGATTACAACCTGACATCTGCCACCGGACACCAAACCGTAGGACAATTTACCTCCGAAAACTATCCTGCTCCTAGGACAATGACAAGTACCCAATACTCCCCCCCCCCACACACACACACACGCACATACACAACACCTCCGCGTGTAGGGAAATGTATATCATTATACAGTATGTACCATATTTCATAACAATGACGTCTGATTATTTATAACTAATTAAAGATCCTGGGGCATGATAAACAAAATTTTGTGCAAAATTCAATTGATTAAAATATTACTATAATGAAGGTAATACTAAGACAGTGCTAAGAGTAGACATGTATCTTTTAAGCTATATTCTTCATGACTTTTCTAAATTATATGTGTAAAGTAATGCTTTTCCAGTTACTTTTGCCAATGTTTAGTATCATTTAGTTGACAAATAATGTGGGATTTTGTATTTCTTGCGAATTAATCCATTTATGTTGTTTACTGTAAATGAAAATCAAGAGATGACAAATGGCTGACATGCAAATTGTGTTTTTCTGAAGCATCCAATTATCTTAATTTGGAGAAAGCACATCCTCATCAACAGCACCTCCTTTATTTTTTTCTGCATATTGCGCAACATTCTGGTTTACATAAAACAAGTTTGATGATGGTAGACGACTTTCCCCTGTTTTTTGGGACGAAGCCGTTGAGGTGATAGCCATCTCCTGGTACATCATGTCTGCCTCCCCCCCCCCCCCGTCACCAACCGTAGGACAATTTACCTCCGACAACTACCCCGCCCCTAGGACAATGACAAGTACCCGATAACCCCACGGCAGATTGCCCGCCCCCCCCCCCCCCACACACACACACACACATATATATATATATATATATATATATATATATATATATATATATGAATATATTCACAACGATACTGCATGCAATAAACTGTATAGCATTATAATTATTTACCATATTTCATACAATGACGTCTGATTATTTATAACTAATTAAAGATTCTGCGGCATGATTAACAAGATTTTTTCGAAAATACAATTGATTAAGATATTAATACACTGTCGCTCATATAGTTGGAATATTTTTTTTAACCCCAATTCATGGAATTATTTTAAAAATGATTTATTCCTAAAAGATCTAGATAATAGTATACATTCTCAGATTTTATTGAATAATAATTTGCCAGTGTTTGTTTTGCGTCACTGTTAAAGCACCTGTATACTAATATGCTTATCACTAGGGGACCTACGCCCTTAAGTCATAAATGACAGTAATTAGGATTAATGCCCCACAAAAGGGCACTAATAAAGCATATCGACACGGTTTTGATCCTGGAGCCTCACAGTAACGAGGCCATTGCTTTGTCACATAACCATGACTGTACGCAGCGGGGGCTAGGGTATGGGGCAGTTCCCACAAAAAAAGACAAAGAAAATTCTTTACATTTTCAATAATTCATTGCATGTTATCCCCGGTCCCCAATATGACAAAAATCCTATGTGTGCACATGCCGTGAGCCATAATGCATGGCCGTACAGATGATTTGTTTATGATGGGGACCGGGGTAAAATGCAATGAATAATTGAAAAATTATTGCATTTTCTTTATTTTTTTTTAATTTCTAAATTCTATGTTTAAAAGTTTTGCTTTTTTCCAGTTACTTTTGCTGATGTTTAGTATCTTTTATTTAACCTGTTATGTGAGATTTTGTATTGCTTTCGAAATAGGGTAACCGAACTAATCCATTGATGATGTTCTCTATAAATGAAAATGAATAGATGGGAAATGGCTGACATGCATATTATGTTTTTTGAAGCTAAATAATATCATCATAACCAGCACCCTCCTCTATTGTGTTTTCATACTGCGCAACATTCTGGTTCTCATAAAACAGGTTTGATGATGGTAGACGTCTTTCTCCTGGTGTATTGGACGAAGCCGTTGAGGTGATAGTCATCTCCTGGTATGTTCTGTCTGTCTCGGGTCTGGGTTGTAGGTCCATGTAAGAATCTGGTCCGTTCTCTCCAGTCTTGGTTGGTACTTTGCGTCTGTTACAGAAACAAAAATCACATGAATAAATCCATGTTCAACCACAGTGAAGAAAAAAAATTGAAATGAAAAAATTGCGGGAAGAGTTATATAGAACTACAAAACTTGTTTATGTTAATTTAATTCGAACGTTCAAAGTGCGAAGGTGTGTGCCTATAAATTAAATTGAAATGGGTATTAAGGACAAAACTGAACGTCTATCCAGCTGGCGCAAAATTTAATTTTAACTTCGCGTCAATAATTTGAATGGATTTCTCTCTTAATTGAATGAAATAAAATTTAAAAGGAATGATAGAACAGGAAATTGAATGCTCAAAAAATGAAAATTTCACTTAACTTCGTGAAATGATTTTGATAATATGGTTTCCTCGTGATAGATAAAGTTTATATCTTCTCAGAAGTTTATTGATCGATTTAAAGAGCCATAGAGATTGATCAATAACGTTATGAGAAGATAAACTCCATCTATAATCAAGAATATGTCATTTTGTTATAAATTTCATGAAAAGAGATAAGAAAAAAAAATTACGGGAGTAATAATCTAATCCCTCAATCAAATCATGAACTTTATGATGAATAAACTCCACGATGGAGTAGTATTAAATCTAACCTGCATCGGAAAAAAGTTGCGATGTTGAAATTTCTTTAAATCTGAAAAAAAACTAATAAACGCAACAGTTGGATTGTGAGTCTAGTTTTGATCTGGATTCAAGGGTCAAACACCCTTATACCGGATAAAAAATAATCTGACAAGTTATCTTGTTACAGGTAGTGAAACGCTACAAACCTCAAGAAGCTAATATCATGTACCTTGAATTTATTACGTTCTTGTAGTTGCGCTGTTCGTCTATTTATAACTCGTAAAAGATGGAATACAGGCTAAAAACAATTAAATAAACTTTAAATTACCTGAGTTGAATATGCAAGAAAGTAATAGCACCTGCATACAGTAACAGGACAGTCAGGACTACAACAACAACAATCAGGCCAATAAGCACTCCTAGGTAAAGAAAAAGAAAAAGAAAAAGAAATTGGAGAGTGGAGCATTTTCTTTTAAGGGGGGCAGTGGGGTATTTATGTATATCGCGTTTTCACACGCCCTACATTAATTAGGAAAATTCGTTTATTTATGATATTTAAACAGGGTGACTCATTATCACCAATAATGGGGTCTTCCATGAGCCCCTGTTCAACATAATAAGAAACAATAGCTAAACAAAATAAAATAATAATAACAACAAAAACTATGTATACACATAATTATACACAAAGTATATATCTTGTCAACCAGAGAAGCTACCCCCTACAAACTATATACTGTTGGAAACCTCCGACTCTGAAATAACAACCACAGAGCCATTTAACTTATAATAAAAGGGAAATGAGAGATTTTCAAACAAAACAAGAAATTACAGATTTTCAGAAATCAAAACTGCAACCACTACTACTCAGAAGTGTACAGGTATATCACTTGTTAAATTCAAAGGTAGATAGTATTTTTTGTTATATAACTTTAATTTAATGATGGCTTTTTGAAATATGCTGTTTTCAGAGAAAGATAAAAGTGATTTGAAAAATCAGAAAACTTCTTGAAAACTGCAATATTTTGGTTCGACATATAGGTACACCGAAGAACCATCATCAACATGTTTTCTCCTGGAAACAAACATTTCCTTCAAAATTGAATGAATAATTTTCAAGTAATAGCAAATTAAGTCTGAAAATGGTAAATGAGCATTCAAGTAATGAAGAATATCAGTATTAAGTGTGCACTAAATATTCCATGGAAAAATAATTCATTTGAGTACTATTAGGATAACATTCTTGCCCAGAACCATTTCATATTTTGTTGCATCTACTAAATGATGACTGGAGAAAAAAGTAAAGCAGAAGTGAATATGTTTAGGAATTAAATGCTTTCATGAAGCCTGCTTCATAGATATTAGATGATAATGAATTAGTCATTGTACATCCATATTTGAGTAAATATTTCAACTTCTGGTTGGTATAGTGCTTGACATTAATTACTTAATCCTTAATTAGACAAAGAAATATATACCTGTACCCCATAAAATGGATATATTCTGAAAGTTGACTCACATACTACTAATTTTTTCCATTTTTTGTTTAATACCACCACTGCCACCCTTAAAGGGGTGCAGCCTGACGAGACTACATGTCCTTTCCCGTGGTCTGACTCGGGGCCAATTGGGTATAATAGCGAGCTTTCGGTTTTTGCACCGAAGGTCGGCTACTACGAGTGACGTCATATTTATCCGCCTGCGCATGCGCGAGCTTCTGGCCCCGCGTTCCCTTCCAAATCACACGACTGGAGTCGGGGGAAATTTCCCTGAATTCACGTCGTCGTTAAAACGGCAACGTGGGTGCTGTTTCCTTGGTATCCCTGATCAAACTTTAAAGTTGAAGTACCAGACGACTCGGTAACTAGGTATGATTTTTTTAATTCTTTTATAAAGTCATTGTTGTAAATTCATCTTCTGCTATATTCTGTTATTTGTTATCATTCTACTATTTTCTTTTTCTGTTTTACATTTTTCATCTTCTTTCCTATCTTTGATTTTTCTATTATTTATCAATTTCTCTTTCTGTCTATTCTTCATTTATTAGTCAGTCATTATTTTCCTTCTATCTTTCGTCATGTCGTCTTTGTTTCCTTCAATCATTTTCTCTTTCTGTTTTTCTTATGTAATTTGTTGTTTCCATCTTTCATCTTCTATTCTATCTTTCCATTATCTATTCTTTATAATTTTCTCTTTCTGTCTTTCCTTATGTTATTCTTTTTTTTTCTTCTACCATCTCTTAAGCTATTGTTTGATGTTATCATTCTATTATTTTGTTTTCTTTCTATCTTTCCTCATGTTATTTTTTTTTATTTCCTTCTATCACCTTCTTTAATGTTATTATTTGTTTTTATCGTTCTATCATTTTCTCTTTCTGTCCTTCCTTATGTTATTCTTTGTTTCTTCTTTATATCACCTGTCCTTATGTTATTCTTTGTTTCTTCCTTCTATCACTTTATAATACGGACGACGTAGTCCAGAATCGTGCCTATTTAATGTTGATCTCCACCACACCAACGCTACCTCTCCCTACTTATACTTGCTACCAGCCGATGATGGTGTGATCATTAAATTAGGACGCCCGGCGAAAGGCTGGGCTGGTGAACTGAGAAATGAAGAATCTCTTGATATGACCACTGAATAAGGCCATGTAAAGAAAAATATATACATGTTTAGCCTCCCCGCCCGCTTTCTTTTTGGGGGCCGTCTCTTTTTTTTTCTTCTTTTTTTTTAAAGAAAAAAAACATGAAAACACTGCTAAAAATGGATCTATTTCTGATTTAACAAAAAAAAAAAAAAATCCCGGCGGTCATCTTGAAAAATGGCTCGACTGTCAGGGAAAATGTACCGAGCGGCAATTTTGAGCAGCCATTTTGAAGAAGAAAAAAAAAAGGGCCCTGCCTTCCTATTTTTCGAAAAGGCAGGACGCTAAACATGTTTTTGTTTTTGGGGCCCAATAGGTACATTCTGGTTTCGCTACCATCAGTCATAGTCTTATAAAGAGATTCCTCATTCTTGGATCAAGGGTCGCCCCAGAGGGAAAACGCATTCCACTTAGAATGATAATTGAGCTTTTATATCTCGAGATTTGCTTTACAGCGATTACAGTCATGGCGAAATCCGAGCCTTCCATTACCATGTGCCCAATTTCTCAGATTGGCCACTATAGCGTGACTGAACAGGTGGCAAATCTCTGTTGGCTACAACCCTTCAGACCGGCAGCCCATGAGACCGACAATCTCGGTCTTTCGGGCCTTTGGACAACTTTTTTTGGGAGGGTTCACTACACGAACAACCAACGAAATTGACAGCCTTTGAGACTTACAATTTCGGTCTTTCGGGCCTTTGGACAACTTTCTAGAGGGTTCACTATACGGTCAGTCCACAAGACTGACATCCAATTAAACCGACAATGCCAGTCTCGTGGGTCTGCTAGCCACTATTCAGAAGGTTATCTAGACCGAAGGTCCCCGAGACCGATATTTCGTTAGGCATATCTTCCCTTGTGTATTTCAGTCTTTCTTATGTTGGCCTGTCAGTCTCGTGGGCTGTCAGTCTACTGAGCTATCGCTCTTTTGGGATGACACCGCTGTGTAATACCAGGGAGGTGAGACTATTTGTTATTTTATCATGGATGTTTCAGTTTTTCCTCAAGAAACTCATTCAGACTTACCTTTGCTCGCTGGACATTCTGGTCTGGGAGGATGACTGGATGTTCCTGAAGAAAAAGTGGAATATATGTTAATAGTGACAAGCTCTTTAGTAGATTGAGTAAAGTTGTTAGTCTTCGAGATTGCATGTACGGTTGTGGTCAGCCCTATTAATGTAACCGACATTTGTAAAAGGAGGCGGAGAGATTTATCAGCAAATTTAAGGTGCTGTATGAAAGCGAAGTTACGAAATCTAATTAGGCTGTGAATGTGTGACTGATGAATGTATTTTTTAAACCAGATGTGAAGACATTTTAATGTGCGATGTTTCATTCAATTTACTTTACATTGATTTAAAAGAAGTTTCTGTTACCCCTTAAACATTTCTTGAAATGACATTAGGTTGCATCCATGTTGCTTGTAGGCTTTAACATCTGCCAAAGAGGAGACGACAAACAAGCATTTCGTTGACCTGCTACTCACCAATGCTCTAATAAATATTCATAATCTAAATAATAAGCTTATCAGAATTCGAGTCCCGAACAAAGATCATTTTACTATTTTAAAATCCATAATGTATTGAGGCTTATACAATTTGGTACCATGTTCTGCGTGTTACGACATAATTCTCTTGTTACTGATTTTGAAGGAATTATTTTCTACTTTGAACGGCTAGAAGGGTTAATAATTTACCTTGAGAAGTCTGTACCTCTGTCACAGAAGTTGTTTCTGTAGTTCCTGTACCACCTGCTATAGGCCCTGATGTTTTCACAAGAAAAGGCGTCGGTGTGAGTTTGACATGGTAAAGACAAAGATTCCCATGTCTGCGCTCATACACCTTACACTCAGTTTGGGATTTTGAGGTGATTGATAGTATTTCAAGTCTTATGAATTAAATTACTGAATTTAAATTTTTACATTATTCTTTTTTCCTCCCCCCCCCCCCCCCCCCACGAATGCTTATCAAAATAGATATGAATATTTATTGTTCGTTGGGTGTTTTGTTATGTCATGCAGTTCCGCCTAGTCAGACATGATAGGAACTTTGGACGTACGTGGCACATCATGCTAAAAGAAAATAGATTTAACACGATTTTGCCCCCCCCCATAATCCTTGATACGCCACGTATGCATAGGCGTATTATGTAATCGATCAATATGCAACATTACAATATTCCAATATTGTTAATTCATTCATTTAATATCATGATAAATAACAATGAATGTCCTCTGTACCTGTTGATGTTTGCCTTCCTATATTTTCTGAGTTGTTGTACTGCTGCATATAGGTGGCAACTTTCATTTTGAAAAGAAAGTGAAATTATGATTACGAAATGAGATGATTATTAAAGAAACTCGTTTATATACATTTATATACATTTATATGATTACTATAAGAAAAGGTATTACAAAAAAATGTGATTTTTGCTGGGAAAAGTTTAAGTATTACAGAAACAAAGCAAATTAAACCTAAACAAAAATCTTTAAAAAGAGTATTACCAAAACGAGTTTTCAGAATGCAGAAATGATTTGAGCAAGAATTGGAAGGTTTTGAAAAAACTCTTGCCATCAAGGCAAAAAGAGGTAAACAACGCAATCTTAAATGATGATGAAATAATAACCGACAAAGTAAAGGTGGAAGTTTATTGAATGAAACTTTTAATAATTTGAGTTTAAATCTACAAACTGGTACATATCCTATCATTGTAGATGGTAATTTCAATTTTTTACAAACGCTATGTTTAGTTTTTGTTAATGTTATATTTTCATGACTTTGCTTTTATTTTTGTATATCACATGTTTGTTATGTCGTCCTAGAGGGCGTACTTGGAAAACAGTTTTTTTTACTGATTATACCTACCCTCTTTTTTAAATAAAACTTGAACAAATAAATAAATTGTATGTACTATCTATCATAGAAATTTTTTTACATAAAGATGTGTGTGCTTTCGAATTTGCAACTTGCAAGGAGTTAAACTCGATAAACTCTGGAAGTACATACTTATTTATTGGTCTTTTGTCTACCGTAGGTCTACTAATATTTAGATGCATTATTTCAAGAAATATTTAGGAACGAGAAGGTATTGCGTGAGACACACATGGTTGAGGAATGTGTGGACTTATAAACATATCTAAAAGAGAAACAAGCATAATATTTATACTTACTGTTAAACAGTGCAATGTAGGATGAACCTCCACATCTTTCAATCTTTCTTCCCGCACACTCGAAGTCAGAGCACTTCCTATCAGCTACTCTGTGAGATGGATTAATGGTTGTTGATGCTTTCCCACATAAACATGTGTCGACATTGTATACCCCAGCAAAGGTATAGGTGTTGTCGGTGTGATTGCAGCAGCTTACGCATTTTAGTATTGTAAAGCCTTTGCTGTCCTCAAGTCCGTATTTGCATGGAGTTTGGAGCTCTGGAAGCGCTGATACAGAGTAAGGATAACAACCCATGTATCCTCTCTCTAAAGTGAATTTGATATAAATTTTTAAAAAAACACGTTGGAATATTTTCCATTATTTCAATGCAGGAAGACATCCCGTTATGAGTGCTCTGTTATTTTGCCCACAAAACTTGCTGGCTTATATTTTCTTTTTCTCTAGTCTTGTCCCCATGTATGTTCATTTTGTTGAAATATCTAACGATTATAGACATATTGAGAAAGTGTTGTCGTATAGTTGTTAATTCACTTGACTTTCAACCCAAAGGTTAGGGGTTCGAATCCCAGTGCAGCAATAATGTCCTTTGGCAAGACATTAAAGCTAAACTTGAGTTCTGGTAATGCGATTGCATTGTGAAAGAAAAGGTGTGGAATGGATCAGAAACAGTTGATCATATAGCATGTAATGGTGTGTAATGCAAGGTTCTGGAGTCATCAAAATCATCATAAATTTGGCAGAGTCTTGGTAAAGTTCCAATAATTTACACAGAAAGATGTATATGGGACAACACACATGGTGTCGGGGCTAGTACTACCCTGATTTCCTTATCTTTATATGCTCATTACTCAGCCAGTATACATTTTCTTCCAAAATTGTTTGGCACATGACATTTATTTGTAATCTTGAACATTCAGTGTAAGTTTCGTTAGATTCTGTGAGAATTCATTTTCTTTTTTTTACCAGAACTCAAGTTTATCTTTAATCCACATATTTCCCAGTCTCTATCCAAGTGATAATGGCTACCTGGCGATGGCTGGGGTGATAATAATTCTAGGGCTAGTATGAGGAGAAGTATGAATACTGAAGTGGCTTCCCTGGATAAATAAGACCCGATTATTATTGTCATTATTATTGTCATTATTATTATCATTATTAGTAGTAGTAGTAGTAGTAGACCTAGAAGTAGTACGATTATCATGATCTTAAGTTTTAGTAGTAGTAGCAGAAGTGGTAGTAGAATTATGAGTATTATCATTATTTTCATAAGTAGTAGTAGAAGTAGTAGTAGTAGTAGTAGTAGTATCATCGTTATTACCATTACCATTATCGTCATTATTATTAATACACAATTTAACAAGGGAGTGACAAATTCTTACCAGAGTATCAAATTTTACAATTCCCAATATTTCGGGGGAATTTTTACAAATGTATGAGAGTTACATAATTGTCATGAAAACATAGTAGATAAGACAAAGAAGTTTTAATAGCATTTGCATGTTACACTTTCCAAAGAGAGTTGCCGTTCGTAGCGCCCCCCCCCCCCCCCCCACAAAAATACACTCACATACCGTCATGTACGCCTATATTAATATTGGTATAATAGTAGCAATGCAAGATCAAAGTATATAAAGATTTGGCCATGGCGAGAAGATGATAGAAACTCATCCAGACACTCTCAGCCATGAATGTATAAACTTAACGTCACGTGGCTGTTAAATGCATGCGCGATCATTCACAATATGTGATGAATAACTAAAGCTATTTCTCACCGTAACAAATCACTCCTCCAGCATCCGGGCAGGTTCCTATGAATAGTGAACAGTTGGCAAGATTCTCTGCATCTGTTATTATAATGGGAGATAAAAAATGGGGAACTGTTAATCTAAATATTGTAATATTTATTTATTTATCTATTTATTTGACATATTTATACAGGATAAAAAAGAAACAATCGAATCAGCAAAGCTGTTTTTCATCGATGTCCTGTTAACATGATTAAACATTTCCGATTCTAACCAATGGGATTTTTTTCTTCTCATTATATCAGTCGAAAAAAACACAAAAAGCTTTAAAATGCAAGAAAAACACATTATTAGAAATTCGTTTGAAAGAAGTTAATGAATGACCAATCTTATTTGTTGAGTGAAAAAATATCATAGCAACAATAAAGACGGTTAAGAACCCCCATGGTTAGAATTAGATAACAAGTGCAAATACGAATACAATAATCCATATAAATATTATACATGAGAAAGCATCTACAATACAATATACAATAAATACATAAATATAAATATATTACATAAAATGAAATCGAAACAAACTTAGATCAACGATTATCATGATTATTAAGTACGGCGGGCCAGAACATGTAAAACTTAATTTTTTATTTCAGAAAAATGTGCGTTTATAACTATTTTTGAAAGAGAAAAGAGTATGATGATTTTGCATTTCATTTGAGAGAGAATTCCATGTTTTGGGGACTGCATATCTAAACGATTGCTTGAATAATGCAGTATTTGGTTTTGATAAGACCACATTGAGTGAGACAGAATTGCGAGTGTAGAAACCATGTCTATCACAAAACATTTCAATTTCATTACATAGGGGGAGGGGTGTTTGGGGGTTAACCCCCCCCCCTTTGGTATTTTTATGAGTATAATAATAAAAAAAAATAATAATAATAATAAAAAATTATTCCCATGGCTGACTTAAAAAAGGCGACCTTACCCCCCCCCCCCCCCCCAACGGGGCAAAATGTCAAATGTTCAAATTTCGAGACCAAAAAAACAAAAACAAGTGTCCTCTTACCCCCCCCCCCCCCCCCTTATTCACCGGCTGGCTGAGTTGATGCAAAATTTTCGGCCCGATTTAAAAATGTTAACCCCCCCCCCCCCCTTGAAAAAAATCCTGCGTACGCGCCTGGTCTTACTAGAGCATTACCATGTATACATCGGAACATAAGCATATTAATAAAATAATCTCTCCTAGTTTCAAAAGTTTGCCATTTCAAATC